ACCACACCCCCCGCCCCTGCCCGGCTCCGTCCTCACCCCGCAGCCCTGCCCACCCATGGCCCTGCCCGCACGGCTCTGGAAGAGCAGTGCGTGGCCAGTGCAGGTGACCTGCCCTCCACAGACAACACAGATGCTCCTTCTGTGTCCTCTTCTCCCGCACCAGCCCTGTACTGGAGCCCTGGAGGTTCTTGGAGAAGCTGGTAAACCACCACATGGTTCGGTGTGCGAGCAAGGAAGGGGGCAAGATCAGCGTGTAATGCCCAGTGGGAAGAAGAGACAAAGTGCACACAAGGTAGGAGAGCACAGAAGGGAAGAGCTCTTTGTGCTCTGCAATGGAGGAAAAAATAAGATTTTAATTTAAAAATAACAACAAGCTTCTTATCCCTGAGCCTCTGGGCACTGACACGTGAAAGTCACAGCCCAACCTTGCTCTGGCACAGGAAGAGCTAATCCCACCCCAGCTGCTGTACAGGGCCACCAAAACACGACCATCCCGGTTGCAACTCGTGGTCTTCCCTGAAGAGAAGCGGGCAGCAATGTGGGGAACTCACCAGGAACACTCAGCAGGTTACAGCTCTCACCCCGAGAAGGTGAAGTCCACGGGTGATGCTGGTCCTATTCCGATTTGTGAGATCACCTCGGAAGTCCCAGCAGAGGGAGACCGGCTCCTGCTGCAAGTCAGCCTGGCACAAGACTCTGTGGTGGTCGCTGCCCCTTCCTCGTACCCAAAGCTTTGCTGGACGATTTCAAATCAACATCACAGAGCTTTTAGTAAAAGCCACCGATTCTGTCTCGGTTTCCAAGATTCTCAATGCCAAAACACTCACAATTACCAATTCATGTGCATCACCAACTTGTGCTCTCTCCACTTCCCTTCCTCTCAGTCACTGCAGCACATGCTGGGGACTGATAAGCCCCAAGAGCAAGCAGGAGAAGAAGAGGCAAACACTGAGGAGGGCAGAGGCAGAGCTGCTGGTTCTAACACACTCCTCGTACCGTGTAAAATCAACCTCCCTGATGGCACAGATGTGATCGACGCGGCAGGACACCTCGCACGGTGCCAGGTCGTAGCTGACCGAGTTGAACTCGTAGTACTGCTGCAGGGAGCGTGGATCCTGGGATATCCTCTCCAGCACTGTCTGCATGGAGCGTGCAGAGCCATCCGGGACCTGGAAGGCCTCTGTCAGCCGGTACTCTTCCTCCCACACTGGGAGCTCTTCCTCCATCATGTTGGCGTGAGTTAGGTTCAAGTAGTAAGTCACCATGTCCTGCAGGGAGAGGAAAACAGGACGAGGGCAAATCAGGACAAATCACGGCCCTGGAGTGAAACATGGGATGGGCTCAGCCCCTCTCCCAGGGGTTGGGGGGCAGCACCACGCACGCGTGCTCCCCACAGGCAGAGCAAACCCCTCCCCAGCGAGGCTGAGCTCCCTCCCAGCGGAGGCTTCCCACTGTCACTGAGGACAGACACCTCAGTGAGGGCCTCGGAGCTCACCACGAAGGAATCCTGTTTGTACAGGGATGGCTCTTCCCTGCTCCACTTCTTCCTGCAAACATGGGGCAATTGAGCTCGGCCTGTTATTCACTACCAGCCAGGCCTGGAGGAGTGTTACTGACTGCGGGAGGTCACCCTGTCAACTGTGAACAAACTGAAGAATAAAGTTTCACAGCTTCTGTTCTCGCTCTCTGCCCCACTGCCTCCCTAGCCTTGCACAGCTGATTTTAGCATTCATGTCTCATGCTATAAATAGCATCTACAGAGCTGCTTTACCCATTGCAAAGAAAGGCACGAACACCCCATCCTCTACAAATAAGAGACAAAGGGAGCAGAAGCTGCCCCTACAATCCTCCTCAATTCAGATCCATTTCAAATTAGCAAGTAGGGAGGCCCAAATAGTTTTCTAGGTAGTTAAAAGTTTTTGGAGGGGGTTTTGACAAGTGTGTGAGTCTTCCAAGCGCAGTTCTACAATCCGTGTTAGCTGGGTAGTAAAGCAAGTGCCAAAGGAAACTAGCTAAAGACATGAAGAACATGACCAAACCTGCCCTGCACTGCCCTGGGGAACCAGTGCCAGGCTGGCTGTGGTCACCCTGCCTTTACTCACTGATGCTCTTACTAAATCCTTGGGTTACACAAGAGGCTGAAGCATCTTAGTGGAGCTCCTCTCCCACAGAGCTGCTTGGCTCCTGTAGTCCTGCCTGTTAAAACCACGTGGAGGAACTGAAGTACTGCCCTAGAACTGCAGTGTGCAGCACGTGGGGATCCCCTACCAACACCTGAAGGGTGGCTGGGTCGTAGTCGATCACCCGAATCCCAGGGTTGTTGGCTCCATTGTTCACTCCAGGTAATGTTGTTTTCCAGGGGGTCACTCCAGGGGCCAGGAACATGACATTGATTGGAGAACCTGAGCAGAAGGGCAAAACAACCCGTGAATGGGAGACTCTGGGTAGTGCCACACACCCCGTGTCCACACTGCAGTGAGCACCCTGCTGCAGACAGCAGCTCTGCCACCAGCCCGAGTCACAGCAGCACACGTACAAAGATCAGCACATGGAACAGCACCAGGGCCTGGATGCGGGTCTGCTGCAGCTGGGAGCTTTCTGCTGCCAAAGACTTGTGCAGCGAGGGCTGAGCTGGAAAAGAACCACGCTCAGCAAAGGAGACCAGAGCAGCTCCTGTAACCCCAGCACAGACCCATAACTCAGCTCTTATGTCTCAGCTGACGTCCCAACCCCATCAATAGGGAGCAGGCAAGAAGCTGCAAGGCATTGAGGGGAAACAACAAAGTCTGAGGGCAAACAGGGAGGTGGAGATCAAAACCACTGTCGTCTCTTGTTGAGCAAAGCACTTCACAAGCCTTTTCTGGCCTCTCAGCTGCATTCAGCCTGACAGCCACTGAAAACTCTCATCGGTGGCAATTCTCCAAGCAGCACCAGTACCTGTATCACTGTAAAACATCCGGAAGGAGTCCGTGTGGTGGTGCCCAAAGAACTGGGCAGCAATGACCCCGTGGTGCTTCTGCACCATCTGCAAGTATCGCTCGTTAAAGCCACCCCGGAACCAGGCCTTGCCTCGCTTCTTCTCGAAGAAGCCAGGAGGGACGTGCCCCACGATGTACACCTACAAAGGCAAGAGCTGCACTGAGTGCAAAGTCACACATCCCACTGGCTTGCTGTGACTGCACAGAGGGCAGAGCCGGAGCAGGACGAGCTTCCAGGCTGGGAGAAGCCCTCTACAAAGTTTATTCATTGCTTTCAATACCATTTCATCTGCTCTAGAGGCGTTGGTCAGTGTTTCTTCCAGCCACTGGAACTGCCCCGCAGGATCCTCCTCACCAGCTGTCTCATTGTTCTGGTCATAGTAGAGGTTGGTATTGAGGACAACCATTCGTCCCCTTGTCCCTGAGCCAGGCAGCTTCTCGCTGTAGAAAGCTCCTGAAAAACGCAACCAAGAAGGCAAGAGCTGGAGCGCTGGTCACGCTGCTTGTTGTGACCCCAGATCCCTTTGTTTCCACCCCTCTCAGCTCCCCTTGGCAATCGCCACAGCAGAGCCCCAATCTGGACACAGGGCCAGCAGTGCTGTGACCACTCCAGGATGGGGATTTGGAGCAGCTCTTCCCCCTGAGCGCCTCTTGTCGCGCTGATGCCTCTGGAGGTGAAGGGAGGCCCAGCATGGGGACAGTGCAGCACCAGGAGCTGGGCAGCTCGGGGAGTCACGGTGCTGCCAACACCAGCAGCTTGCTCAGGAGATCTTTTTTCTTCCCACTGCATCCTCTGGAGGGACACTTGCCAGTAACTTGAGAAAACCAGTCAATGCTAAAGCATACATTTCTTTTCTCTCAAGCAGGAGAACTCCGTGCCAGAAATCAGCATTAAATTGGACCCTTCCTCTGCAAATACTCTATAAATACTATTGCTCTGAGGACAGAAGCAGGGCAAACCATTCGTGGTGTTCTCCTAACCACCCTTATCCTCTCGGAGTGCTGCTGACATGAGCTAGTGGTACCAAACCTGCTCTGAAGAGAGGAACGGAAGCATTGTTCAGCCAGGGACGCCACAGTTCAGCTGTTTGGTTGTAGATCCTGTGCTCCTTCCCTGGAAACTGATTCTTGGGATGGAAGTCATGATTGCCCATCGCCGCGTAGACTTTAGTGTCTAGAGACAGAGAAAAGGAGGTGCAGAGGAATCCATGCTCACTTCAGAGCTCCTCAGCACCAAAGGTCCCCGAGGCTTGTTAAGAACAACCTGACTTGGGAGCTTTGCAAACAGCCACATGGTTGCACTGTCTGCAAAGACCATCCCTCCCTGGGACAAGCCACCCCAGAGCTACGGCTTTGCAGGGGAATCCAGGAGCTCTCACCACCAATAACGCTCCTTCCCCCACTGCTCACATGGATTAAGCTCAGAGAAACCTTGCAGCCTTTTCTGTCCCCATGACTAACTACAGAAATGTTTGTGTTCCTCTCTTCTGAGTTAACCTGAACCGC